TGTCACGTAAGGGACCTCTTCGTTGAGAGGATCGGCCTTTTCTCCTCCGGGTCCGCCCTCAGGGTGCCCACGATTTGTTGACATTGATCCAGCTTGTCGTGGATCTCTTTTTCCCATATCTCGATCTGCCTCCGCTGCTTACGTCGTAGGATGCCTCCATCGACCCCTTGAACTTCGGCACTCCAGATGTCAAGTTCCCCGGTGGTCACTGACGGCACTGGCTTGGTCGGTTTCTTCTCTGGCTGTCACCTCCAGCTCCCCCTCTGCCATGACGGGAGCGCTGTCGTGCACACCTCTGGATACCATCGATGACCCTCTCATCCGGGTAGTTATGGTGCCGTCCTCGGTGTAGCTGTGCAGGCGGTGTCCAGTACAGCGTGTCCTTCGGGTACGGGTCCTTTCCGTAGGGCTCAATCCCATCAGACTCTTCGTAGTTGTCCTCCTGCTTCGGCGATGAGGTCATATCACGTGGTCCGTCGTTTGTCCCTGCTCGCCGTCCTGTCCATAGCCAGGTAGGTCGGACTCCATGAGGTAATCGCTCACGCACGCCCTGCACGATCTCCCAAAGTTCTCGTGATGCGCCCCACGCTTCTTGGAAAAGATCATACTTCAAGTTGCGTGACCCAGTAGGTGCCATCTCCATCGTGATGTGCGCCAGTCTTTCCATTCAGTGCCTTGCCCAGCCAACGCGCCACTCCATGAAATCTAGATCGGCTTGCTGCGTATCCGGGCAGCTGGTCTACGCAGCTGAGATCTGCGTCGCCCTTTCCTTGATCCTTTGTGGATCTGCCTCTGTGGTGTTGTCGTCTATCTAGTCCGTCAGGTCGCCCTCTCGCCCTAATTCACCATCTGGCCACGTTCTGTCGTCCGAATCTGGGTTCGGATCTTCCTCCGGCTCCTCAGGTACCATGGGTAATCCATCTTGTACTTGGTACTGGTGGTGGTCCTCGGCGTCAAGTGCCCAGGGCTTCTTGATTTCCTTGTCCCTCGCAATCTCGATCGTCGTCAGGTTGATGATCTCTTCCATGGTCGTTTCCATGGTGGCCAGCTGATCGTTGACCAGCTGGATGGCTGTCAGGTCCATGGAGTTGTCTGCCAAGAGCAGCTTGATCGCCTTTGCAATCGCAAAGCCCGCTCGACGCAGAAACCCTCCAGGTCGTCCTCGAAAGCCTCCACATCCACCACGTCCACCACGCTGGATGTGGCTCGAGCTAATGCTTGATGGTCTTGTTTTGTCGCGCTCTGGGTCACCCTTCCGGTTGCCCTTCTTGCCGCACGCCTTGCAGTTCGTGCGCGCTTTGATCTTCTTGAGCTTGTCATCTGTTCCTTGGTATCCATCTTGATAGAGCCGGTCTTGTTGATACTGGTCTTCCAGCCTCGATTCGACTTGCTCTGAGCTAGCCGTTCCCCAGCCTGCTTGTAGTTGGGCTTGTGGGTTCGGAGTCCAGCCTTCCATCCCAGTCGTTGAGCCTCCGCTGCTAAAGTGTCACACTCCTCCTGGCTGATCTCCTCAGCATCGAGGTGGTCTATGACTCCCTCGAACGCGTCGATGTAGGCAGCCAGGGCCTCGTAGTCCGAGTCGTTGAAGATGGTCCCGTCGTCGTACGGTCCCCCGTGATCTCCAAGGAGAGCATCTTCTTCATCTTCGTAGTCTGCTGCGTAGGCTACATATCGCTCTTGTCCACGATCTTCTCGACCAGTAGTGTCTAGCTGAATCTGCATCGCCGCCGTCACGTCGTCCCAGATGCGTTCGTTGTTGCACTGTCCGAGGATGGCCGTATGCTCGGTCATGTTGATATGTGCCACCTTCAACAAACAGTATGTTCGCAGGTCTTCGCTCACCGTCGCATGTGTCGAGAGTGACTTCAACCTCTCATACTCCGTCTCTCGCCTTGAGATGTGGTCCTGAACTGACTCCGATCGCTGTCGGAGGCCCTTGAAGAAAACCTCGTTGAATGCCTGCAGCTTTTGCAGTGGCGCGATCCTCCGCATACTGTTCGAACCGTCGCCACTACCAACCGTGTTGCAGCAAGCGGGTCCTCACCTACTCTCTCCAGAATTGCTTAAGTCGTAATCTCGACCTTCTTGCGTGTGAAATTCCACAGCATTCCATTGAGTGCACTCTTGAGCTTAATGGCGTAGAGCTCCTGAATATATTCCTCACGCGCCGCACGGTAACAAAGAATCGCTCTCGCCTCGAATTCTTCCCCGCAGGCAGGGTCGCCATTGCAGTGAACCGCGCCCTCCTTGTCGACGCAGAGGGGTCCGTCCTGGAGCTGGTGCTTGGACGTCGTCATCTTGTCGGGCATGCAGCTGCCGCCGAACGCGCTGTAGCTGCTTCTGTTGTCCTCGCCCAGGCTGTCGCGACCGCTGTCGTCCAAGTTGTGGGCGATGAGGCCCTCGATGATGTGGAGTGCGCTGTGGGAACTCACTAGCGCGAGACTGAGCGCCAGCATGTGGTCTTGCACGGCCACGCGATATGAAATCCTCGCAGACGTGGAACAGAAACTGCTCACGCTGCCAGTGTAAATGATGGTCGCACTATCCAACCCATCACTCTCGATGAAAGAGAATCAAATCAGAAAGTGATGAATGTGTATACCGTCCTCAGGCTTAGTCGTGAGGAGGTGCGTCCTCCCTCCCGCCCAGCTGTGAGCCGAATGGCGAGAGGAAACATTAAACACGAGCGAGAGAGAGAGAGAGAGCAACGGCAGTGTATCATTGTCCTGTCAAGTCTCCTCGATACACATCTGCGTATCAATCTGAATTTCACATCAGGGATGTGTCGCTTCGGGCTGTCTTTCTAGTGGCTCGGGGAGGAGTGCCGATGTCACATGCCGAGAAGCCAAAGGGGGCGGCAAGCCATGCAGAAGGTGTTTGGGAGGCTCTGCGGTTCGGGAGCCACTCGCGCGCGGCTCGCTTGGCAGAGCTGAGGAGCTTTTGAGGCGGGCATTGAGGACCTCAAGGGGCGTGTGGGGAGGACGTGTGCCCAGATCCCTTCGCGCTGTGAAGAAAAACCATACGGCGGGAGGTCTTTTGCCATGTTCGGCCTCGGGGGGTCCTTGCCGGGCCCAGGGACCGTCAACAAAACGACTCAGGATGAGAAAGCGATCCCGGGAAATTGGTCGAGACATTCGGGGGTCAACGTTGTGATGGAATTAGCTTGGCGAAGGACCCAATCATATGCAGTTGTGAATACCGCAAATATGAATATCGTTTTCGGTGGCGCTACCACTGGATAGGGGAGACGCATGCGAACACCCCCACTGGGGCCTTCGGTGGAGCTCCCTATGGGCCCTATGGGGCCACGAAGCGCTGCCCTGGGCGGGGGAACCGCATGCGTGCACCCCCACTGGGGCCTACGGTGGAGCTCCCTATGAACCGCATGCGGGCACCCCCACTGGGGCCTACGGTGGAGCTCCCTATGGGGCTACGAAACGCTGCCTTGGGCGGGGGAACCGCATGCGGGCACCCCCACCGGGGCCTACGGTGGAGCTCCCTATGGGGCTACGAAGCGCTGCCCTGGGTGGGGGAACCGCATGCGGGCACACCCACTGGGGCTTACGGTGGAGCTCTTTATGGGGCTACGAAACGCTGCCCTGGGTGGGGGAACCGCATGCGGGCACCCCCACTGGGGCTTACGGTGGAGCTCCCTATGGGGCCACGAAACGCTGCCTGGGCGGGGGAACCGCATGCGGGCACCCCCACTGGGGCCTTCGGTGGAACCCCCATGGGGCTACGAAGCGCTGCCCTGGGTGGGGGAACCGCATGGGCACCCCCACTGGGGCCTTCGGTGGAACCCCATCATGGGGCTACGAAGCGCTGCCCTGGGTGGGGGAACCGCATGCGGGCACCCCCACTGGGGCCTACGGTGGAGCTCCCTATGGGGCTACGAAACGCTGCCCTGGGTGAGGGAACCGCATGCGGGCACCCCCACTGGGGCCTACGGTGGAGCTCCCTATGGGGCCACGAAGCGCTGCCCTGGGTGGGGGAACCGCATGCGGGCACCCCCCTGGGGCTTTCGGTGGAGCTCCCTATGGGGCTACGAAGCGCTGCCCTGGGTGGGGGAACCGCATGCGGGCACCCCCACTGGGGCCTACGGTGGAGCTCCCTATGGGGCCACGAAACGCTGCCTTGGGCGGGGGAACCGCATGCGGGCACCCCCACTGGGGCCTTCGGTGGAACCCCATCATGGGGCTACGAAGCGCTGCCCTGGGTGGGGGAACCGCATGCGGGCACCCCCACTGGGGCCTACGGTGGAGCTCCCCATGAGGCCACGAAACGCTGCCCTGGGCGGGGGAACCGCATGCGGGCACCCCCATTGGGGCCGACGGTGGAGCTCCCTATGTGGCCACGAAACGTTTGTGTCACTTTGGGCGACCTCTTGGAGGCCCCTTGGAGGGCCCTCTGGCCTTATTGGGAGCTTCTGGGCGGTGTCTGGTACTAATTTGGCCTCGGGGCACCCTCGCTTTCCCCCTCGTGGGCCCCTGTTGGGCCGTCTTGGGCGGTGTTTAGGGGCCTCGAGGGGGTTGGGCGTCCTTTTGGGGGGGCGATGTTGACGCTCTCTGGGTGGCCTCGTGGGCAGTCTTGGGGCGATTTTGGGGCCTCGTATGCCATCGCGGACTACGCGGGGGCATGAGCAACGAAGGCGTGAAACACGCACGTCCCCCAAAGGGTTTGGACCGATGTTCGCCTCTTGGGGCCCTTTTGGCGGTCCTCTTGGAGCCACATGGGGGCGTTTCGGGGGCCTCCTGGGCTGAGCAAACGTCTGCGAGCAAACGTGGGCCAGTTGGTGACCATTTGGACCAGTCTTTCGCCCATGTTGGCCCGTCTGATGGCCGTCTCGGAGCGCTGCAGGGCGAGATGAGTGTCTCGGCCCTGCTGGTGGGAACCCCCCCCCGCCTTTCAAACTGGCCAGGCCGGGCTCCCAGCGTGGGGTTTGGGGAGGGGCAACTCTCTCACACTCCGAGGAACTCCGAGGGGCCGACGAATTTCATGAGCCTTCCGCAGCACAACACATCGCATCCAGAGTACGAGAACCTGGAGCAGGCAGACAATTGGCCGAAGCCTGGTGAGCACCCTGCAGTTCGTACAGAGGCGGAGGAGGCTCTTTTCCAGAAGACCCTTGGCTCGATGGAACTCATGTACAGCATGAGCAATACACCAGTCATCGTGCTTCCCATGGATGACGAGGTCGCTGCTGGCACGGAGTACCTCGCGCGAGGATGGTGTTTCTTCGAGTTCTGCCTCGCGTTCAGCTTCGGCACCATCACGAACGCCGACATCCACCTGCCCGTGAGCCAGATGTGCAGAACTGTTGCCGAGCTGAGAGCGGACACGGTTGAGGGTTCCGGAAATCTTTCATGGCGACCAAATTTACCAACAAGGGCGACCGGTACGTGGTCACCACGCTCTTCGAGCAGACCCTGAATAAGAAGCCGAGGCAGTGGTGAGCTGGGCACCATCACGAAGACATCCACCTGCCCGTGAGCCAGATGTGCAGAACTGTTGCCGAGCTGTTGAGGGGTTCCGGAAATCTTTCATGGCGACCAAATTTACCAACAAGGGCGACCGGTACGTGGTCACCACGCTCTTCGAGCAGACCCTGAATAAGAAGCCGAGGCAGTGGTGAGCTGGGCACCATCACGAACGCCGACATCCACCTGCCCGTGAGCCAGATGTGCAGAACTGTTGCCGAGCTGAGAGCGGACACGGTTGAGGGGTTCCGGAAATCTTTCATGGCGACCAAATTTACCAACAAGGGCGACCGGTACGTGGTCACCACGCTCTTCGAGCAGACCCTGAATAAGAAGCCGAGGCAGTGGTGAGCTGGGCACCATCACGAACGCCGACATCCACCTGCCCGTGAGCCAAATGTGCAGAACTGTTGCCGAGCTGAGAGCGGACACGGTTGAAGGGTTCCGGAAATCTTTCATGGCGACCAAATTTACCAGCAAGGGCGACCGGTACGTGGTCACCACGCTCTTCGAGCAGACCCTGAACTAAGAAGCCGAGGCAGTGGTGAGCTGGGCACCATCACGAACGCCGACATCCACTTGCCCGTGAGCCAGATGTGCAGAACTGTTGCCGAGCTGAGAGCGGACACGGTTGAAGGGTTCCGGAAATCTTTCATGGCGACCAAATTTACCAACAAGGGCGACCGGTACGTGGTCACCACGCTCTTCGAGCAGACCCTGAATAAGAAGCCGAGGCAGTGGTGAGCTGGGCACCATCACGAACGCCGACATCCACCTGCCCGTGAGCCAGATGTGCAGAACTGTTGCCGAGCTGAGAGCGGACACGGTTGAGGGGTTCCGGAAATCTTTCATGGCGACCAAATTTACCAATAAGGGCGACCGGTACGTGGTCACCACGCTTTTCGAGCAGACCCTGAACTAAGAAGCCGAGGCAGTGGTGAGCTGGGCACCATCACGAACGCCGACATCCACCTGCCCGTGAGCCAGATGTGCAGAACTGTTGCCGAGCTGAGAGCGGAAACGGTTGAAGGGTTCCGGAAATCTTTCATGGCGACCAAATTTACCAACAAGGGCGACCGGTACGTGGTCACTACGCTCTTCGAGCAGACCCTGAATAAGAAGCCGAGGCAGTGGTGAGCTGGGCACCATCACGAACGCCGACATCCACCTGCCCGTGAGCCAGATGTGCAGAACTGTTGCCGAGCTGAGAGCGGACACGGTCGAAGGGTTCCGGAAATCTTTCATGGCGACCAAATTTACCAACAAGGGCGACCGGTACGTGGTCACCACGCTCTTCGAGCAGACCCTGAATAAGAAGCCGAGGCAGCGGTGAGCTGGGCACCATCACGAACGCCGACATCCACCTGCCCGTGAGCCAGATGTGCAGAACTGTTGCCGAGCTGAGAGCGGACACGGTTGAAGGGTTCCGGAAATCTTTCATGGCGTTTAAATTTTCCAACAAGGGCGACCGGTACGTGGTCACCACGCTCTTCGAGCAGACCCTGAATAAGAAGCCGAGGCAGTGGTGAGCTGGGCACCATCACGAACGCCGACATCCACCTGCCCGTGAGCCAGATGTGCAGAACTGTTGCCGAGCTGAGAGCGGACACGGTCGAAGGGTTCCGGAAATCTTTCATGGCGTTTAAATTTTCCAACAAGGGCGACCGGTACGCCTTGCCTTCCTCCCCCTCCACAGCTCGCTCCGGCAATAACTGTCACGGGTAGCTCTTTTTGTGAGCGTTGGTGCATCTAGGGGGCAGGATTAGTCCGCCCAGGCCGGCGCTTACACTAAGGAGCATCAGATTCGTGGCAGCAATACTGGAGATTCGGCGACGAAACCTAGAACAAAAAAAAGGGCGACCGGCACGTGGTCACCACGCTCTTCGAGCAGACCCTGCATAAGAAGCCGAGGCAGTGGTGGGCCCAGGGCTGGCCCGCACGAAGGGCGGCGTGCGCGCAGCACCCGACGGGAGCAAAAGCAAAAGCCTGATGGAGTGCAGCATGCTCTGGACCACTTGACGCGCGCTGTCGTCTTCCATGTTGATTCCGTCCTGCTGCAAACCGGGGCGGTGAAATTTGGAGGTGCCAGGGCTGGCTCTGCGACCGCTTTCAAAGAGCGTGTTCTGGATTTCCCCCAACGCCTCAGGCAGGAGCCACTGTCGCAATCCGTTCATATCCGACCCGTATATCAGGACTGTATTGCGGATTGGAATGGCATGTGTAACGAGGTTTTGAACGCGCACGGGGTATCCCGTCAGATGCTCACAATTGCTTCGTTTGGAATGACTTGTGGGCCGTATGTGCGTGTTCTTTGACGTCTGCCCAATGTCCCTGCGTCCCTAACCAGTATTGGCCCCTGTCTGGTGTCTATGTGCGGGGTTGCTGGACATTTGCCCGTCGCCTCTCCCACTTGCTCCCTCAAACCGACTGTGTCTCGGCCCTCGCCTGCCGACTTGGGGCGCCGCAGGGGTGCGACGCATGCAGTGATAGCAGCGACGCTCCGCTTTCTTAGTGCCAACTGCCCGCCACAGGATGATCGGGAAAAAAGCGAGAGCAAGCCTGCCAGATAAGTCCATGGCCTAGGGTGCCCCCCCCCCTCGGCCAGGTTGTCGCGCGCTGGGGCTGAGGCGGCGCGGCTGCGGGCAAAGCTGGCCGCAACTCTGCCCTGTGCTTCCGCCCTGTGCTTTTCAACATGAAGGGAATTTGCCCTGGGGGGGAAGGGGCCCAGTCCCCAGACAGTTCATCATCCTGGCTTTGTTCTCGGCGGCCCTGGGGCCTGCGGAGGCTCCAGGGGCCCGACAGTGGCGAACAAGATTCAATTTCTTGCTGGTTGGCCCAAGAGGAGTCCAGCGACAAGGCAGTGGTGCAATAGATTTTGTGCGATAGGTTTTGTGGCATTGCTGTAGATTTTGGGGTGTGCAATACATTCCGGTGCACACATGTTTTGCTGGATTCTCGCGCGCAATACATTCGTCGCAATACAATGCAACACAACTCTCCGGCGCAATACATTTGAAATACAAACGCCTCGAATCTATTGTATTACCCCCTTTCAGCTGGACCCCGTTGTGGGTCGACCAAATCTTCTTCCTCCAGGACCCGTTTCCTTCATGCTACATTTTGTTTTCCACGTTCATCGCCCTAGCTTTGCGCGGGCAGCGGCGGGCGCGCGGGACGAGCGATTGCGCAAACCGCGCGCGCGCGTGCGTGTAGGCGCGCGGGGTGCCAGCCGCCGCCGCTGTGAGACCCGCCTCGCCCACTTCTTCCCTTTGAGTTAGCGTCGTGAAATTATGGCCGTGCGTCCAAAGACGCGAGGGCGCGTTGAGAAAGTGGTAACTGGCCTTCGGGGGGCCTTGTCGTCGTCATGGCCGGACGCAGCTCGGAAGCCTGGTGCGCTTGGACCCCAGGAGGGGTCCAGGGACCGATTTTGAGTTGCCGTTGTCTAAATTCGCCTTGTTCCGACCAGGTACTGGTACCGCTACCCCTGCCTCGTCGTAACGGCTGGACTCACCTCGAAGTCCTACAGTGCCGTTTTTAATGCATGCTCCGCGTGCGGATCATGTATTAAAAGTGCAGGGATTTTCCAAGTCGGGCCTCCTAAGGCTTCCTGGGGGGCCCTGGTACACACATCGCAAGGTGTGGCAACCCCCCTTGCGCTCGAGTGCGACCTCGCAAGTGTATTTCACTCCCAGCAGCTATCCTCCTCCTCTTCTCCTCCTCTTTCCCTCCACAAATTGTCTAGTGAAACAAATCGGCTGGTGGGAATCGTGCTTACACTTCTCTTGTTAATCGCTTCGCTCACTCCGCCAGCCCATCTTGCATCACTTGTATGAGCCTGGGCACACACGTGCCACTTGTATATATATATATATATATATATATATATATATATCTCCTTGGGGGCGAGGCCGGGGGCCCCAGGACAGGTGCCCCGACCCCCCATGGCGGGACCGGGGCTCATTTTCCTTATGTTTTTACCAGGTTTCCGCGTCCTGGGCATCGGAGGCCGCTGCCTCCGACCTCCCATGGGAGGACGGGGCGGCCGGGGAGGTCCAAAATAGTCCAGGAGGGCTTCCAGAGGCTCCCAAGACGGCCCAAGCGGGCCTCGAGTCGCCGAAAGACCGCTCCAGGACGCCCAAGATAGGCCCAAGACGGCCCGAGAGGCCCCCCAAGGCACTCCACGACGATTCAAGACGCCTCTCCAGAGCGCTTCAAGGGGCCGAAATCGTCAATTTGACGAAGGTTTTCGAACGATTTTGGCCTTCCAGCCTTTTCGGCTGTCCGACGTTCCAAGACGGCTCTATAGGCCCCCAAGAGCGCCCCAAGACGGCCCAAGAGGGCCCCAAGACGGCCCCAGAGTCGCCCAAGACAGCCCAACAGAGCCCCACGACGGCCCCAAGATGCGCCCAAGAGGGGGACCACGACTCCAAAATTCGACCCTCCCACTTGAAGAGTGCCCCAGGAGGCCCCAAGGAGCCCCCAAGAGGCCCCAGGAGGCCCCCAAGAGGCACCCAGGAGGCCCAAACGAGGCCTAAAGAGGCCACAAAACAGCCCCGAGGAGGCCCCACAACGGTCCCAAAACGGCTACCGAGAAGCTGCGAAACTGCCTTCACGACGTCCCCGACAGGCCAACCACGAGATCCAAACCAACACCCATGAGGCCTCTGACCCACCACCAGGGCACGGTGGCGGGAGCAGTGACAGCACTTGTGCACAGCATGTTCCGGCGGGAGCCTTCCGGAACACGCTGCAGGAGGAGGAGGAAGATCAGGAGGAGAGAGAGCCGGAGTGGGGGAGGAGGAGGGGGACGAGGAGAAGAGGCCTCCCACACAGCTCCAAGATAGCCGAAGAGGCTTCCAAGAGGCCCTGGGCGGCCCACGAGGGCCCCAAGGCGGTGCCTGAGGCGCCCAAGACGGCCCGAGAGGGCCCCAAGACGGCCCCAAGAGAGGCCCAAGAAGGGAAACACGAACCGAGAATCCGAGCTTTCTACCCCGAGAGGTTCTCGGAAAGTCCCAAGAGGCCAATCGGATCCAAGGGGCCCCCAAGAAGCTCCCAAGCGGGCCGACGAGGTTCCAAGAGATTTCCCAAGGTGGCCCCAAGAGGCACAGCTCATTGTTTTACGATTGGGCTTTGACGGGTTTTAATTTTTCCTGCTTTTTGGCATCCTGATGCTCCAAGACTGCCCAAGAGGCTTCCAATACCGCTCCCATATAGAGGAAGAGGCCTCCAAGAGGGCCCCAAGACGGCCCGCGAGGGCCCCAAGACGGTGCTTGAGGCGCCGAAGACGGCCCGAGAGGGCACCAGGAGCCCCAAGAGAGGCCCAAGCAGGGGAACGCGACCCAACAGCAGAGCGGTCCCCCCACAATGCCCACATGAGGCCGCAAGAGGCCCCCAAGTGGTCCGACGAGGACCCCAAAGGCCCCTCGGAGACGTCCAAGAGGCTTTAAAATAGCCCAAGAGTGCCCTCGATGCGTCAAAACTGCTTCCAGGAGGCCCCCAGGAGGCTTCCGGATTGCCTCAATCTGGCCGCAGGTGGCCTCAAGTCGGGCCTCCACGCAGCCAAGACGGCCAATGACGGCTTTAGATTGCAGAACCGATGCCCCCAAGGGACCCTCAGACGCCCCCCCAAGAAGCACCCAACAGTTGACGAAGCATGCGGAACACCCCAGAAGCTCCTCAGATGCCGTCGCGCGCCTGTGCTTGATAGCGTTGTCCAAGATCGTCCAGCACCCCCCCAGCCTGGGCTAGAACCTGAGCGCGCGCGAAGCACGCGCGATGGTTCTAGCCCAGGGGCCCGAAAACAGCTGCCCGACCCTCCATGGGAGTACCGGAGCTCATTTTCGCTGTGTTTTTAAAGGGTTTCGGCGTCCCGGGCTTCGGAGGCCGCCGCGATGGTCCCGGACATTTTCCAGATCCTCGGCGCGGGCTCCAAGACCATTTCGCAGAGGGCTCCAACAGGCTCCAGGGCAACCCATGAGGGCTCCAAGACGGCTCCAGGAACGACTGCAGGGTCTCATTTTTCGTGTGTTTTCTGCAAGACGGCTCCAGGAAGACTGCATGTCTTATGAGGATGGCTTCCGCCTCTTGCCCCGAGCATCCCAAACTGCCTGAACGGTTCCCACTTGCCTTCCCCAAACCCAGCGCTTGCCCAAGTGCGTTCCGGGCGGTCTTCGCCGGAACGCGCTGGAATGATCACGCGCTGCGGTTTCCCATGCCAACGTCCTCGGACGTGGGCGCCCTGCCACGAGCGCGTTCCGGGAAGATGCTCTCGGAACGCGCTGAAAAGATATGGCCACATCTCGGGGACGCTCCCGGCACCGCTGCCCCAGCCTTTCCGGGCAGCCTCCACAGCGCTCCAGGAGGGCCCAAGACGCCCCCCAGGAGCCCCCAGAATGCGAAAGGAGGGCCCAAGACGCTCCCGAGCAGCCCAAGTCAGCCTTCCGACGGCTCTCGAGGCTCCCAGGTGGCCTCCAAGAGACCCCAAGAAGTCTGATAGGTATCATGGTACGGCCCGAAGAGGCCAAAGTCGTATATGTTCAATGGAGGTTTTAGAACGGGTTGAGCAGAGGGGCCATACGTGTGATGTTGGGCAAAATGGAATATTCTGCCTGTCTCTGATGTGCACTCGCCAACACCCTGCTGCCTATCTCCGCTCAAGTTGTTTCTGGTCTGAAGCAGGCCTGATGGGCCCCCCGCCGGCCCTCATCAGTCATCTCCAGACCGCGGGCGTGCGCGCTCTGGAGTTGCTGGCGCTGCGGCAGTCGATCATCTCGGGGGTGCCGCCGTGCCCCGCGGTGTCGCTGGCGTGCCCGCCGGCGAACCTGACCTGCCCGCCGCAGGTCTGCCCGGCGCTGACGTGCTCACCGCCGCCCTGCCCTCCTCCAGTGTGCCCAGCGCCGCTGGTCAACCTCTCCTGCCCGCCTGCAGGAGGGATCGTGGGCGCCGGCGAGCTCGACCCACCCTCGGCGTGCTGGGGAACTCTCGCAGGGATCGCGGCTGGGCTGGGGCTCGGCCGCGCCGCCCCGCGCCGCGGGCGTGCTGCTGCCGTCGAAGGAGATGATGATCGCGCACCGTCCCCTGCCCCCGCTCGCCGCGGAGGGGGAGTGGTGCGCTGACTTGGCGGTCGGCACCCTGGTCCGGGTCTCCTACACCGGGGAGACCATGGACCACACGAGGGTCGTGCTGTGGCCCAGCCGCCGCCTGGACCAGAGGCGGCGGGTCCGGGGGCGGCACGCCTATTGGGTGCTCTCCGCGGACGGCGACGTCTGGGAGGAGGACCTGAGCGGGAGGAATGCGGCGACCGGGCCGTCGGGCGGGTCGCTGCTGGACCAGGCGACTGGGGATCCGCCCGACGGCCGCCGCCTCTATCGGTTCCGGGCGCGGCCCAGCCTGGACGAGGTCGTGGAGCTGGCGGCGGAGTGCCGAGCCACGATGCTCAGGCGTGGGCAGGCCGAGTCGGAGGCGCCGACGAGCGTGGTGCTGGCCGACGGGGCGGTGCGCCCCGGCCGCGACCACTTCCCGTGGCTCGCGGCCCCGCGCCCTTGGGTGCTGACGGAGCCGCTCCCTGGCATGCCGATCGGGACCGTGGTGGATCCGCTCCCGGTGGGGGCGCTGCGCGACGGGAGCCGGGCCCTCGGCTTGCTGCCGAGCTGCGGCCGCTGGGCGAGGCTCGAGCAGGTGGACGAGGGCAAGATCGTCGAGTGGGCCGCCAAGAGGACGAAGGAGCTGCTGCTGGACCTCGGCGCGGAGCCCGACGCCATGGGCGCCGCGGAGCCGATTGGCGGGACTGAAACCCCGCCGCTGGGGCGTGAGGCTCGCTCGGCCGGAGGCGACCGCCTGGGCGAGAAGCTGGGGCTGGCCGCCGAGGAGCCCGCCGAGTCGGCCGTGGGGAAGGACGACGCCTACGGCGACGCGCGCACGCTGTGGGTCGACTGGGACGAGCAGGGCGAGCGTAGGAAGGAGTTCAAGCGAGCGGTGGCCGAGAGCTCGAATGTGAAGTGGGACCATCATCGGCTGCCCGCCGATCGCACTTGCCTTCACACGTGCAAGATGATGGTGAACTTGAGTGGGTCCCCACGCGCGTGGCTAGAGCGCTTTCTCAGGGAGAAGGGGATAGCTTCTACGGATCGAGTCGCGCACGAACTCCGAGTGTTGTGCGACATCTTGGAGGAAGCTGGCGAGTTTGACCAGATCAACCTCGGAGGACTGGCTTGCTTGGAAGTGGCCGCCCTCCGGCTGAACCTGCTGGTGGACGCGCACAAGACGAGCGGGTCGGCCTCGTACTCGAACGCGAAGTACCTCTCGCCGCTGACCGAGGTGGACCAGTTGATGGCTCCTGGCTTGCGGTCTCACGTGTCGAGGCGCGCCAAGGAGGAGTACGAGCTGATGCAGGGCGACAAGAAGGCCGAGGCGGTCGCTGCTGGTGCGGCTGGCGCGCGGGTTCCACCGCGCGAGGGGGCCGATGATGCGGCCAAAGGTGGCAAGGGCGGCGGCGGGGGCGGCCGGGGTAACAAGACCCGGGCGCGGGCCCTCGCGCCGCCCGTGCAGGCATGACGGACCAGTCTCAGCCGGCGGAGTGGGCCCCTGCCGGCTGGGCTAACACATCGGCCCGGCGAGCGCCGCTGGCCCTGGCGAGCGGGGATAGGGACCTCTTCCCCCTCCCTCGCCTGGCCAGGCCGCCCGCCAGCAGGGGCGGCAGCCGCGCCCGGATTGCTGGCGCTCGGCGGCGGCGCGAGCACGAATTGGTGAACGGCGCGATCGACTCTCTCAACTGGCTTGCTGGATGGGAGCCTGCCGACGTGGGCCCGCCGCGCTCCCTGGACGCCATGGGGGGCAAGCATGCTGGGATCGTACAGTGGGTGGCCAGCGAAGCTCATCGGCGCCAAGCCGCAGCTCCCAACCCCTGTCCGTCCCAAGAGGCATCGCTCAGTGCGTTGCTCAAGGGGTGCTCGATCTACGACACGTCGGGCTCCCCGAGGAACCTGGCCTCCTTCGTCCGCGAGCGCGTGTCCTTGCCCCCTTCGGTTGTCGGCTGCCGCCAGGTAGACGATATCGTGGGCGAGGCCGGCCGCACCTACCTGAAGGAGAATCAAAAGCGTATGAGGCGGCCGATCGAGGAGATCGATTTTGACAACTTGCCGACTCCCTATTTTGACCCGCTGCTGAAGCGGAACAAGAAGATGTACCACAACTTTTTGAAGGATCTCTCGTCCCGCGGGCTCTTGCTTGCCACCTTGTCTCCCGCAGAGCAGGCTGGCCTGTTCTTCGTGAAGAAGGCCGACAGCGACAAGATGCGCATGATCGTGGATGCGCGTCGGGCGAACGCGTGGTTCGGCGTGCCCCCCAGCGTCCAGCTCCTGTCGTGCGAGGGGTTCGGCAGGGTGGAGGTGAAGCTCCCAGAGGGCGTCGCCTTCGGCTCGGCGCGGGGCGAGGAGCTGCTGAACGGCTTCAAGCTCTTCTTGGGCATGACGGACGTCAAGGACTGCTTCTACAGGATGCGCATCCCGGTGAGCCTGGCGAAGTTCTTCTCGCTGCCCGCCGCTCCAGCTCACGTCCTGGGCCTGGAGGGGCACGAGCTGGAGGGGACGAGGCTGGGCTGCGACACCCTCGTCTTCCCTTGCATCGGGGCTCTCCCCATGGGATTCTCTTGGTCCCTCTTCCTCGCCCAAGACGCGAACGAGGAAAGGGTCGTCCGGTCTGATCCGTGGCCAGGGGGAGACATGGCAATCTCAGAGCGGGTCCTGATGAGCGATCGCGGACCTCCGCTCGTCGTAGAGGTTGAGCCCGGCCTGCACGGGGGAGCCTACGTGTACGTCGACAACATGGGGGTGCTCGCCCCCTCGGAGGGCCTCGCCAAGAGCGCCCTCGAGAGCTGGACTGGTCTCTTTGAGGGGGTCGGCCTGGACTTGCACAAGAGCTCGGTGGGCTCGGGCGCGTGCGAGGCGCTCGGGACCAAGCTTGACCTCGAGCTGATGAGGTCGGGCGTGAGCGACGGGCGGTTCTGGAAGGTGTACCTGGGGCTGGGGGGCCTGCTAGCCCGCGGCCGGGCGACAGGGCGCGCCTTGGAGGTGGTGCTGGGCCACTGCACCTTCTGCGGGCTGGCCCTCCGAGGGTCGCTGAGCTGCTGGCACGCCTCGTACCGCTTCATCCAGCGGCACTACCTGGAGCCTGCCCGCCTGTGGGCAGAAGTCGTGAAGGAGATCAAGATGTTCCGCGGGCTGCTCACCCTGATGGTTCAGGACTGGTGGCGGCCATGGAACTGCTGCGTGCTCCAGACCGACGCGAGCGAGAGCGGCTGGGGCATGGCGCAGTCGTTCTGGCCGCAGCACGTGGTGGAGCAGGTCGGCCGGCTGCCTGAGCGAGCCCGCTTTCGTTCGGCGCTGGGCAGGCCGGCGCGAGAGAGCGCGCTCGCTGCCGCCAACCTTGCTCGGGACAGCTCGGGCGCTCTGTGCAGTTTTGAGGATATGAAGAATCCTGACTCTCTCGCGTCTGACCTCCTGTCCTCGTGGGAGCTCGACCCCGGGTTCGCTGAAGTGCCCTGGCAGTGGCTCCGAAAGGGGGCCTGGGAGACCGTCCGGTCCGGGGTCTGGCGTTTTGCTGAGGACATCCTGATCCTTGAAGCCAGGGCCCTCGTAAAATCGATCCAGAGGCTGGCAAAGACCGCGCACGGGGTCTGTGTGCGACAGCTCTTTCTGTCCGACAATATGTCTGTGGTGCTATCTTTTTCCAGGGCTCGTTCGTCCCGCTTCAGCTTGCTGGTTCAGATCCGTCGATTCTATGCCTATGCAATTGCGTTGGGGCTTACGCCCGCTATTCGATGGATCCCCTCGGAGTTTAATGAAAGCGATGAAGGCAGCAGGGTTTTTTCTGAGAGCGACAGTAATATTCTCACATCCCTCCTTGATGAGAAGTTCCAGGCCGGTCTGAATCTGCTCACCCGTCCTCCAGGAGCCGTCCCTGTGAAAGACAATACGCGGGATCCTCTCCGTAGCCGTTTTGGCTCAAACCATTCTCGCTTGGCTGAGGTTCCCGAGGCTCCCGACTTGCCAGAGACGGCGGGCCATGGCCCCCGAGAGGGCTCGGGTGCTGGCCGGGCCGGCGCCGCGGGCGCGGACGCCCCCTCAGCGGGCGGGCGCTCGGCGGCCGGCCGCGCGGACTCGTGCGCTGGCGGCCGTGGCAGCGCCGGCGGGCTCGCGCTCGGACCCGAGTGGCGCGAGGGCGATCGCCAGCCCCGGGGCGCTGGGCCGGGCGCGGATACTGGCGCCGGCCCCCCTCTTGCCTTCAAAGAAGAGGGCCAGCCAGGCCGGACGGCATCTCTCGGCCCTCGACGAGAGGGACGCGAACGGGCTGGACCTCGCTGGAGACGCCGGGGAGGACGCCGAGGGCGACAGCAGCTCCAGCGGCTCCGACTCGGTGGTGGAGCAGCTGGGGCGGACTCGGGCCCGAATGCGGCAGCTGCGCGCGCGGAGGGCGCACCGGCGGGCGAAGCTGTACGCCGATGCTATCCTGGCGGCGCAGGGCGAGGGCGTGAGCCTCCTGGAGACCCTGGCGGTGACCCAGGCGACGCAGGTGAGGTACCAGCGATATCTCGATCGTTTCTACTCGCGTGCCGGCCTGAGCCGGAGGCAGATCCTGGCGAAGCCGGACACGGAGATCGACGAGCTCATGTGCAACTACATGACCGAGAACTACTTGCAGGGCGAGCAGAGCAACTACGGAGACCAGACAGTCGCAGCCTGGGTCAGCGCGAACCCGGACTTCGGGCGCGTGGGAGGTCGCAAGCTGCCGCGGACCTGGCGGGCGCTGAAGGCCTGGCGCAGGCTGACCCCGGGCAGGCGGCGGAAGGCCCTTGCCCTTCCGGTCTGGTGCGGGCTGGCTTGGAGGCTGGCGCAGCGGGGACACCTACGCCTGGGCATCTTCTTGATGATAGGCGTATCGATCTATGGTCGGCCCTCGACCTTGCTGGCCGCCCGGCGGTGCGACCTTGTGCCACCGTCGCCTGGTGTCAGCAGGCACTGGGCCCTGTTGACCCACCCGCTGGAGCGGAAGAGGCCCAGCAAACGTGGGCACTTCGACGAGGGCTGCCCCCTGGACTCGCCGTACCTCCAGGGCTTGGACGAGGTGTTCGAGCGGCTGGCCTCGACGACGTCGAAGGAACCGCTGTGGAACTTCAGCTACCCCGAGGCAGCGACGTTGCTCAAGGAGGCGGCGGAGGACCTCGGGGTGGCCCCGGTGACATTGTACCAGATGAGACACTCGGGCGCCAGCATCGACTTGGCGAAAGGCTGGCGCAGTCTGACCTCGGCGCAGCGACGCGGGGAGTGGACGCAGGCGAAGTCAATGCACCGCTACGAGCACAGCAGCAGGCTCGGCAGCGACTATGCAAAGCTCGACCCCCGGCTGCGCGCGACGTGCGAGGAGGCGGAGAGGCAGCTGGCGCTCATCCTGACGGACCGGCCCCACAACGTGCAGATGTGGCGCAGGTGAGCCAGCTGCACCTTGGATACCGTGGAGGCCGCTCTCGTGGCCGCCTTCGCCGCTCGCGCCTCGGCAAGGGCCAGTACCTCGGCGATCTCTTCGCGGGCTGCCGAGCGGTGTCTCGAGCGGCCGAGGCCGAGGGCTTCCGGGCGAGAAGTTGGGACGTCATCTATGATGCAAAATGGCAGGACTTGTTGTCGCCGGCCGTGCTGCGGGCGATCAAAGCTGACGCTCGAGCTGGCCGACTGGTGGCCGCAACAATGGCCCCTCCGTGCCAGACTTTTTCCCTCGCGCACGACAGGTCGAGACCTGTGCGCAGCCGCGAGAAGCCATGGGGCTTTCCCGCCTCCGAGCTGACGCCTGTCGATGCCGAAGCAGTGGAATTAGGCAACCGCCTCGCTCGGGTTGCGCTTTCTCTCTTCAGATTCTTTTTGAAACTGGGGGTTCCCGTAATCCTCGAACATCCCTTGACGAGCCGGCTGTGGCATACTGCTGAGGTGTGCGACTTATCGCACCATAAACATGTCTCTCTTGTTGAACTGGACCAGTGTCAGTATGGAGCAAGATGGAAAAAGCCCACACGGCTCCTCTGTGCACACGTGAATCAGGAAGATATAATTAAGCTCGCCCGTCGATGCCGACCAAAGGGCTGTATATGTTCTAGGACTGGGAAACCCCATTGGCAACTCAGCGGCGGGGGGCCAGGTGGCCTCCGCCGCACCCGCATTGCTTCTGAATACCCTCCTGGTCTGGCACGGGCAATGGTCTCGACCCTCTTAGCTAGTACTGTTGAAAAGCGAGCTTGTCACTCCCACCCTTTCTCTCCCCACCCTAGCGAACATCCAACCTGGATAGCTTCGGGATGATTTGGGAGAAGGAGTTTTAAGGCATGCCTTTAAGCTCAAAGCCTCTGGCCATGACGAGTCCAGAGTTTCGCTAGATTCAGTCTCCGCAAGAAAAATGGGACCGTTGCTCTGGAGGTTTTAGAACGGGTTGAGCAGAGGGGCCATACGTGTGATGTTGGGCAAAATGGAATATTCTGCCTGTCTCTGATGTGCACTCGCCAACACCCTGCTGCCTATCTCCGCTCAAGTTGTTTCTGGTCTCCGTCTTTTCAATGTTTTTGGCTTCTCGCGTTTTCGAGTTTCCAACGGTCCAAGAGCGCCGAAGAGCCTCCATGAGGGTACCGGGGCTCATTTTCCCTTTGTTTTTAAAAGGGTTTCCGCGTCCTGGGCCTCGGAGGCCGCCGCCTCCGAAATGGGAGGACGGGGCGGCCGGGGAGGTCCAAAATAGTCCAGGAGGGCTTCCAGAGGCTCCCAAGACGGCCCAAGCGGGCCCCGAGTCGCCGAAAGACCGCTCCAGGACCCCCAAGATAGGCCCAAGACGGCCCGAGAGGCCGCCCAAGGCACTCCACGACGATTCAAGACGCCTCTCCAGAGCGCTTCAAGAGGCCGAAATCGTCAATTTGACGAATGTTTTCGAACGATTTTGGCCTTCCAGCCTTTTCGGCTGTCCGACGTTCCAAGACGGCTCTATAGGCCCCCAAGAGCGCCCCAAGACGGCCCAAGAGGGCCCCAAGACGGCCCCAGAGTCGCCCAAGACAGCCCAACAGAGCCCCAAGACGGCCCCAAGATGCGCCCAAGAGGGGGACCACGACTCCCAAATTCGACCCTCCCGCTTGAAGAGTGTCCCAGGAGGCCCCAAGGAGCCCCCAAGAGGCCCCCAAAAGGCACCCAGGAGGCCCAAGCGAGGCCTAAAGAGGCCACAAAACAGCCCCGAGGAGGCCCCACAACGGTCCCAAAACGGCTACCGAGAAGCTGCGAAACTGCCTTCACGACGTCCCCGAAAGGCCAACCACGAGATCCAAACCAACACCCATGAGGCCTCTGACCCACCAACCAGGGCACGGTGGCGGGAGCAGTGACAGCACTTGTGCACAGCATGTTCCGGCGGGAGCCTTCCGGAACACGCTGCAGGAGGAGGAGGAAGATTAGGAGGAGAGAGAGTTGGAGTGGGAGGAGGAGGAGGAGGGGGACGAGGAGGAGAAAGAGGCCTCCCACACAGCTCCAAGATAGCCGAAGAGGCTTCCAAGAGTGCCCTGGGCGGCCCACGAGGGCCCCAAGGCGGTGCCTGATGCGCCCAAGACGGCCCGAGAGGGCCCCAAGACGGCCCCAAGAGAGGCCCAAGAAGGGAAATACGAACCGAGAATCCGAGCTTTCTACCCCGAGAGGTTCTCGGGAAGTCCCCAGAGGCTCCCAACCGGATCCAAGAGGCCCCCAAGAGTCTCCCAAGAGGGCCGACCAGGTTCCAAGAGATCTCCCAAGGTGGCCCCAAGAGGCACAACTCATTGTTTTACGATTGGGCTTTGACGGGTTTTTTTTTTGTTCTGCCTTTTGGCATCCCGATACTCCAAGACGGCCCAAGAGGCTTCCAATACCGCTCCCATATAGAGGAAGAGGCCTCCAAGAGGGCCCCAAGACGGCCCGCGAGGGCCCCAAGACGGTGCTTGAGGCGCCCAAGACGGCCCGAGAGTGCCCCATGAGCCCCAAGAGAGGCCCAAGAAGGGGAACGCGACCCAACAGCAGAGCGGTCCCCCCACAAGGCCCACAGGAGGCTGCAAGAGGCCCCCAAGTGGTCCGACGAGGACCCCAAAAGCTTTAAAAGGCCCCTAGGAGACGTCCAAGAGGCTGTAAAACAGCCCAAGAGTGCCCTCGATGCGTCAAAACTGCTTCCAGGAGGCCCCCGGGAGGCTTCCGGATTGCCTCAATCTGGCCGCAGGTGGCCTCAAGTCGGGCCTCCACGCAGCCAAGACGGCCAATGACGGCTTCAGATTGCAGAACCGATGCCCCCAAGGGACCCTCAGACGCCCCCCCAAGAAGCACCCAAGAGGTGCCTCCAACAGCCAGTTGACGAAGCATGCGGAACACCCCAGAAGCTCCTCAGGTGCCGTCGCGCGCCTGTGCTTCATAGCGTTGTCCAAGATCGTCCAGCGCTCCCACGGCCTGGGCTAGAACCTGAGCGCGCGCGAAGCGCGCGCGATGGTTCTAGTATATATATATATATATATATACGTATACATAGATAGGGGTATATATATATATATATGTATACAATCACTGATATTTGCCTCTTGAGGCCCTCTTCGGGGGCCTCTCGGTGTGTCTTGAAGGCCTCTTGGGCCATCGTGAGGCCATCTTGAGCGTCTTGGAGCGATTTTTCGGTGACTCGGGGCCCTCTTGGACCGTCTTGAGAGCATCGTGGGGCCTTCTTGGCTTGTCTTCGGGCCCTCTTGGGCCCAAAAAAGTTACGTTGGGAGCCCCGCCAAAGTTCCGAATTTGGGGTCCGGGCCTTTTCAAGACTCCTCAGGCAGGACTGAAGACTGAGGCTCTGGGGATTCGGCAATGGACCTGAGGACACGTCCACTCCGTGCCCTGAGGCACGGAGACGGATGTTGTTCATCCAGCGTTATAAGCGCTTCACGGGGAGGGAATGCCTTTCTCACCCCCTCTGCGCACCCTCCTCCCCGAACCCCCAACGGTATGTTATTTTCTCTACACCGTGGACCCAGGAAGCTCTCCTCGGGACCGCCCCGACATCCAGAGTCGTTTCGTTGAGGGCCCCACGGCACGGCAAAGGGCCTAGAATTGGCCAACGCCGCCCGCCGCCCCTCGCTCGCATCGAGGGGAAGCCCCTGTCCGTCGGGGGAGCGCCGCCGATGCCCCAGCCAGTTTTGGGGGGTCAATCCTCTGACCTCCCCCGTCCTCCCCCATCCTCCCCCTCCTCCTCCCCCTCCTGCTCCCCATCCTCCCCCTCCTGCTCCCCCCTCTGACCCCCCGTCCTCCGTCCTCCCTCCTCCCCCATCCTGCTCCCTCTCCTCCATTCCTCCCCCATTCCTCCTCCTCCTCCTCCTCCTCCTCCTCCTCCTCCTCCTCCTCCTCCTCCTCCTCCTCATTTAATATTCCCTTCGCTACTCCCTCCGCTACTCCCCGGCGCTTCAGCCGGCGCAGTTTTTTCCGCGGTGCCCCGCCTTCCGCGTCGCCGCGCCTGGCGCGTCGCCGCCTGCAGTTGGAGGCGGCCTTCGACCAGCGAGCGGGCCGTTGGCCCCGCCGCTGGCGGGGAGACTTCCCGCTTGCAGTCACCAGTCCGGCTCTCCTCCCCAGGAGGGGGGCGGGGAGGGGGGAGGGAGGTCGGAGGAGGCAAAGGTACCCATACCGCTACCCGTCCCTCGTGTTCGCCTGTTTGGGCCTCCTGGGAGGCCCTCGTTGCCACTGCTGGATTCGCTTAAAGATTCTGGTCAGAACACACCCCAGGAGAGGTCCGGGGAGTAAGGGTATCGGTACCTGTTGGTTTTCCCAGGAGGTGGATGAGAAGGGGGGGAAGATGGGGACGGGGACGGGGAGGAGGAGGCGGACGGGGGGAGGGAGGAGGTGGGGAAGAGTAGAAGATGCATGAGAAGGGCACAGGGGGAGAAATCGGGGTGACGGAGGGAAGGAGGGAGGAGGAGGAGGAGGAGGAGGAGGAGGAGGAACGAGAAAGAGAAAGAGAAAGAGAAAGAGGAGGAGGAGGAGGGGGGAGGGAGGGAAAGGGGGGGAGGCGGTCGGAGGAGGAGGAGGAGCAGAAGGAAGAGGAGAAAGCTCGGGGGATGAGGATGAGGAAAAGGAAGGAGGAATGAAGAGGAGGAGGAGGAGGAGGAGGAGGAGGAGGAGGACGAGGAAGCGCCACCTCTTCCTCCTCCCGACTGTTCTGAAAGCCCCCACACAGAAAGCACCGAAAGCGTCGAGCATGCTTCGAGAGCCTCGGGAAAACTGGCCCCCCTGACCCTCCAGAGACACACAGACGGGGGGAGGTCAGGCAGGAGGACCAGATCGGTGACTGCAACGGGCGTCTCCCAACAAGTGCGAGACCGCCGTCATGGAGGAGGAGGCGACTTCGCCGTCGCGCAGGAATGCCCAGCAGCGGAAAAGGGAGTCACGCGTGCTCGATGCTGCGTGGTGTTGCCCGGAGCACGG